TTCCAGTAAAGCCAATCGGCAGCTGGTCAAGAGGAATCTGCCGTCGTCTTCTGGTGGAACCGACCTTCGATTCTCTTCACCCAACCCTTTCACTCGAAATGGAAGTAAGCTGAGAATTATGATAGCTGCTCAGGCAAAGCACTTCGAACAAGGCGCGTCCAACTTGGTCGCCTTGGCAACACGACCAAGTTGCGAAAACGAGGTCAGACCATTTCAATACATCTAGAATAGACTGCGACTAAGGCAGAAGCTGCAACATTTTAGTTTTTATATCTTCTATGAAATGAAAGTTTATAATACTTAAAGACATTCACCAAAAGTTAATTCTTCGTTTTGCATACCCATCTTGTCAAATTTCAGTTTTTGTTCCCGGATGCCTCGGTCGTCACTCAAACGAGCCGATTGCGTTGTTTTGATCTGGATGAATCCGGAAGTTCTCATTTCATCGTGAGTTTACTTTATCGCAACTTTTACGCCGAATGCAGTGATCCCATACCATTTTTCCCCTCTTCACCTCATCATCGCATTGCCCCAAAATGAGACCACCTCGATCCTCCGTGCATTGACACTATCGCCTCCCGACTGAGGCAGTCTTGAGGGTTCGTGCCACCTCATCAATTCACGCCAGTCGCATTGGGAAGAGCCACTTTCAACTTGACCTTTGAAACTCCCTTGCGAACTGTCCTTGGAATGGACATCTACAGCAGTTTGTCAGTCATTTTTGGAATTGTCGAGCGATTCGTGAAACGGTCTACTCGACACCGCACCGCAACTACGATACATCCGTGCTGAATGTTTGTCTGTTCTGTCGTGATAGACATCTTTTTGATGGGAAACCACTCTATAAATAAACCCCTCAGCTAAAAGCCAGAAATGGTGGCCGTCTACCATCTTAACCACTCGTTAGAACGTAATGTTGACAGTTTGATCCGGCGTCAGCTTAAGACAGTTGCCTCGGGGTCGCAAGATGGTGCGAAGAGGACAAATCAGCACTCACGTCTCCCAAGAGATCTTCCGAAAGTTGTACCTTTTAGCCACGGGGCAGATGTGAATTCCAGAGAAGGTCAGACATTTTTCCCCGAGCCGATTTACTTGCAGTCTCGAGACCCTACTCATAAACGAAAGGTACGTAATGTGGCGGATCGGCGCAGCAAGCGTAACTTTGCATCATCGGCACTCGCATCACAGAATGTGATATGGGAAAAGATGTCTGGTATTCCTTGAAATTATCATCTCCCCTCTGGCCCAAGGGCACTCATGGCAATACGGCGTAGTGGTTAACGTGTCGAAGTTATACGCTCCACTTCACGGTTCGAGTCCCGCCAGCGGTGTTGCTAAGACTGAGGTGAAGTAGCAACTGGCCTATGCCTTGGATGAGAGAATTTTTTGTAAAGCAAGTTTTGTGAAATTCAATTGAAACGTCAGCTCTGCTCATCTGATTGTGGGAAAATTCAACTATCAGTCCTTCATCACCCGAAACGAAATAGGGTGAATATATATCATTATCTTTCTTATATCCTACAATAATTGTCAATTAATTCTTCATCACCTTGTGACACCCAATGCGACTACCGCTATCGGGCAAGATCTGGGGCCAATCTCGACGGTCTACTTTATCAGAATGGACATGTTTGGCTATTTTTCGTTCGCTTGTCTAACAGGAGAGTCTCGTCCGACATCGTCTGCATCGCTGGCTGCCCAAACCTCTCAGCTTTGCCCACCGACTGGCCATCGTCTGCGCCGGCCTCACCAGTTTCGGCTGGCAGCGTCTCGACAAGTCAGCGTACAATCATACTTTATCAATTCCAAAGAGACATCTTCTGACTGAGGCTTCACTCTCGGCCATTCTCACCGACACTCTGACCTTCTGGCAGGAGTTCTGTTTGGAGCTGCTCTTCCGCATCGACGACGGTATGTGTCTGCCTTCTCAGGGACTCTGCATGGGTCCTGCTGTTGTCACCGGCTCTCTGCTGAACAATCCAGATCTGATCGTCTGGTTCGATGAGGTCCGACTGGCGTCGAAGACTTCGGCTGTCCCCAACGCCTCCACGAAAGCATCACACACCGCCGTCCAGTCTGGCCGGCGAAGCAGCTCCCCGGTCGACGTGAATATCATCAAAACCACGCAGCACTTTCTGCAAAGTCTCGATCCCTTGAACAATTTCGTGCAGCACATCAATTGGCTCATCTGTTTCGGCAAGTACTCCTTCTAAAGACCATTGGTTGACTTTTTCCACAATATCGGATGAAATGGCTTTATGATGCAATTGGAATTTCACTAAGCCTCGCCTCCGAAACGTGCATCTCACGTGGAATGAACTACAGTTTTGACCTCGCCTAAACCAGTCTCACCAGCAAACCCATCGGTATTCGAACCCTGGTCGTGAGTATCGTGAGTACTCTATGACCACAAGTGGCAATGGGTCACAGGGCGGCTGGCGCATAAGAGGCAAGCTAGCTCTCTCACGGCCCATTATTTCTAGTGGGATTGTCGATTTAGCAATCACATATACGCCATTGCAATCGGCAAAATTACCTGATTTCGATATTTCGAATAAGAATTTGGCCAGCCTGGGTCGCTTAAGGTGAATTAAGGATTGATGCTTGAGTTTTTTCACACAATCCGATGAGTAGATCTCTCAATGCCATTGCATTATGCATAGCTTTGCCTCTCAAAAAAGGCATTATCACACAGACTGGACAAGACTGCAGCTTACACCCCCGAACGGAATCGAATCCGGAGAGAGCAATGTGTAATTTTCACATGTTACAAATACGTTCCACCGCTACGAGTAGCAGTGGGTCACAGGGAAGATTAGAATATCAAGGAGATCCAGGCTTCTCAGTACACAATTATACTTGAAAGTAGGCAAGCTTGAATACGGCCATTACGATCAGCATTACTCATATTCATAAATGTTATTCAATGTTGACTGATAGTATTCAAGCCTAATCAAAGTGAATATAAGTAGCTTAGTTAATTTTAATGGTATAATACGACATGTTAGGAAAATGAGATGTATTCACCCTACCAATAAATCCCGAATAAGGATTCAAGTCAACCTAGGGCAGACAAGATGATGAAGCACTTGTAATCGAATTTTCCCACCATCATATGAGTGAGCCTCACATTTCCATTAAATCCAAATCAGCTTTGCTTCCCAAAAGGTACTTTAATCCTGGGTCACAGGACTGGTGTGAATTTCAAGTGAGACTAGGCCTCTCTCATATCACATTACTGTTGGGATTGTGTGTTTTGCCATTAAACTTGGCTACGCTACTTATTTTTCGCATTTAAGTATTGTTTCGAGACTACCAGTGAATCGGTAGATGAGATGTATTTACCCAATGAATAAAGTCCACCCTGGATGAGAACAACTTTTGGGAAAGCAAGGCAATGTGAAATTCAATGAAAACGTCAGCTCTACTCACGTCATTGTGGGAAAATTCTTCTACCAGTCATTCATCACCTTAAACGAAATTGAGTTAATACATCTCATACTACTGATTTACTGGTATTCACGAAAACAATACTTAATTG